AGACTCACCGGTTCTTATCAGAACCACACAGACTCAAAAAGAGATATTGCATGGTGTTTACCGCAAGCTTTCCATCTTAATCTGGCCCCTATTGAAAAGAGGTCAGCAGTGCACCGTGCCGGTTTGGGGAACAAAAGAATCTTATGTAACACCGCACAATCTGGGCTCTTTTTCCAAGGCTGCTGGCCTGGCTGAAATATTCAGGAGTCAATAAATTTTACCTGTCAGTTTTAGAGTAGTGCCCAAAGAGTCCTTCATTTTTGGTATAAACAGCCATTAAATGAAATGATGAATTTTTGAAAAACTTTGAAAATGGAAAATCTTGAAAATGAGCCGGCATCTTGTCTTGCTCAAGAAAAATCCACCCGGCAGCAAGTGAATAAAAATAGACTGGGAAGACTTTCCTGGAATTTTTCAAACAATAAAAAGCCTTTCTCCAGCTCCAAGAGGCAGAGGTAACTGCAGAATTTCAGCACCGCCGTTCGTACAAACAGGTGGTCCTCACAGGAATTCTTCCCTAGAAACTTACAGACTCACTTTTCTCATTTGAAGAAAAGTTGTTAGTTGAAATAGTTACGTTGGAACTACATGTACAAACGTTAGGATACATGTAGGTGGAACTTTCTACCTGTGACTGTACAATCGTGCCATTCATTTATCCATGCTAACCTGCAAGGTAATTGGTTACGTTAATGGTCATCCATTTTTTCAACTTTTTCATGAACAGTTGAAACGTATACTGGAAGGTTTACAACTTCTCTTCACTTTTGTAAACTTGGATAAAGGTTGATTGATCATTGGCCCTTTCTTGCATGTGCTTTGGGCGGGGTTTCAATTGAAATAATGAATTTTGTATGCTGACGAAAAGGATGACACAAATGGATGACCCCTATTAAAGTTAGAAATATTCATATTGTATACATGTTGGTTAAATTAATATTGTGGGGCTCGGTGGATTGAAATAACTTGATACCCGTAGCATGTGTGAACATGCAAGTTATGTAATTAGTGGAAAAATATTGGCAGATATTTATTGGTTCTAGAATACCATTCATTAAGAATTTTTCAGACCAATAAGTCCCCAAAGAATGTTCACTAGGTATGCAGTTATACACATATCTTGCAGTTTGCAGTTGTGTATGTTGTGATAATTTGGAAAAAATTGGATAACTTTAGGGGTCTATTTTTGGCTAGCTGAGCTACTTTTTCATTGCATCTTAACTTAAAGAAGAAATCTTAGAGAAACAAAAGAAATGCTGAGATTTGATTTAATCGGTTAACCTCTTGCTGCCGGGGAACCCTGTTTTGAGCATTGTGGATTTATACGCAGAACCGGGGTACCCGAAATGGGACAAAAGAGCTGGTCCGTGTAACAAAAGACTGTACTTGGAACAAAAGACCTGCTGCTGGGAATTGCCATCATTTTTTGCCTTGCATTTTTCGAAGGTAATCCATCACTATTTTTAAACAGTATACCACTGTTTTGGGCATAGCACGCCCGCGGATTAGCACTGTGGAAAAAAGTGCTCCAGGGCCCCATTGATGAGCGACACAGCACCGCTGCATGCTAATCCAGCTCTGGTTGAAAAGATGCCTTTCGCATTCACTGGGGACAAAGGAAATTACACAACACCTCACAATTCTGGGCTCTCTTGACAGGGTGGCAGGCCTGGTTGAAATATTCAAGAGTCAATGAAGCTTACCTGGCAGCTTAGAGTAGCCACCAAACAGTCATTCGTGTGGGTGTAAACATCTTTTAAATGAAATAATGAATTTTTAAAGAATTTTGAAAACTACAAATTCTGAAACTCACCCGTACGTGTGCACTGCATTTTTAAAAGCACCCGGCAGCATGTGGTTAACTTAGTTTTTAAATTGGGCAACATGTTCAAAGCACATCTCTACCAATATGCAACATTTAGTTGGTCTCCAAACTTTGGTTTGAAGTGTGTGTGGTGTCTTTGAACATCAACAAGGCATTTTAGACATCTCATTTTGTCATGTAAATAGATGAAGTGTAAAACTGTAGCCACTTGGATGTCACCCTACAGACCAATTACTCTCTTCTTTGTATAAGAGATTAACATGTTAGTTGAGACTGAACCACGGACCAAGATTAGAACCCACTACTAGGGTGGTGTACAGTCAGGTGCAGGTTGTTCTATTTACAGTATACCTTGTATGTCTCCTCATTTGACCATTATGGGGATGTTGCTTTGCCAAAATACACCTGTGGCATGCTTGAGTCTGTATAACGGCACGACAATAATGACATCGCATTGGATTAATCTATACATTATCTCTAGCCTTGTTTTAAGTGAAAATGAATATTGTAAACGTCCATAAATCCATTGTATATGAAATTTAACCTAAAATTTAAGCGTGAAATCTAAAGTTTCCAAAGAAGGATCAGTATTCATTTTTGTATGTGTACAAAAGCCTAACAAATCAAAAAATTACCTAAGTGATCAGTGATGTAGTGAAGTACATCACATTTCTTTTTTAATTCCCTTTAAAAGTTCAGTACAAGCCCTTTCAATTCATTTGAATATCTTGTGACTTGGTTTAAGACTGGAAGACTCTTGATGGTCATGTGATGGAATCTACCATGGATCCCCGGTGCTGTGCCTTATGACGCAGGTTGCTTTAGGAGGATGTAAATTTTGACATTTGGTTTTCACCGTTATCCATAATCCAACATCCATGGAATTTGTATGCGCACTCTCTTCTCTCTGAGGGTGTGCGGTATAAAATGTAAAATCCTGCTCAGGTGGGATTTGAACCAACCCACGAGCTTGCTGGGGTTAGCTGGCTGGTTCATTATCAGTGTAAGTTAATCAGGCAACAAGAATTTTAAATTCTCACTGTTGTGGCATGGCACTCTTCCAGTATGAGTGAGCTGAGCTGGTACTGCAGTAATTGTATCCCCATTCATGCCAATGGCAGTTTGTACAACAGTCAGTGACTTACATGTACGTGTACCAATGAATCCTAGGGTCTTGGACAGAACTGATTAAATGCAGATCATAGGAAAGCAGTGTCAGGGAAGAGCAAAACCTTACATCAGAATGACTTCACCGACTTAATTAAATGAATGTTTCAAGGATTTTTTTTAATACAGTGTACAGGAAAGTAAATAATTTGTGTTGTATTGTACATTTATCGGTATGTAAAACAGTCCTAATGCTAAGTGTTTCAAAATTGTCGAAGTTAAACCAAGTGATAAATTGTTGTGTTCAGCTCTGATCTAGGAATAAGCATGAATTCCTTCGTGGTTGACACATGCCTTCTGGGGGAAATCAACATGCATTGCTGTGTGTACTCAATGAAACATTTACACTTTCAATTAATTGTTTTTTTGCATGTGAGTTTGATCACTTTTTGTCTCCTCCAGAAGATGACATTGATAACTGCGGCTGTTTTGGAGATGAATTTCCCCATTGTAGTTTAAATACAGTGTATAAAGAAGCAGAGGTCCATCATTAGAGGATGCATTCAAGTGACCACAAAGGAACATACAGGGGAAGATCTGCATGTCAATCAACCAGTTGTATGCTAATGAGAAGTGCTAACAGCTTTAGGGCCAATTACATATATGTATCCTGTGAGGGGTAGGGGGAAAGGGCAACTTGTCCCCCAGCGACATCTTGCTAAGTTATTTTTTAAACAGAAGGAATTGAAAGCACCAGCATTTTAGAAACAGTACTACCACCTATGTTCTGGGAGGGGGTGTTGAGGATTTTTTTATGGATGAAAAACATGGCCAGTCATTAATTGGGGGAAAAAATCCATTCCATATTCCCCTTACCCAATGGCTATGCCACTGTTCAGGGCATCCATATTGGTAAGCTGGTAAACTGGTACTTTGAGTTTATATTGTATTTTACTGTTTTGACATCTTTATTAAGGTAAAATGAGGGTAAAGTCAACCGTGAATTGGAAGGGGTGCAGATCCTCTACCGTGTTCATTTCCAGCACATTCTGGGTCAGTACTCAGTAGGCCATCATATCTGCTCTATGTAGCCTTCAAGTACCCCCCCCTCCTCCAACAATGGTGCTGTGTACCCAGCATCCATGCAAAAACATTGTTGCCAAAATGTGGAAACAAGCATGCACACGTTGTGTGTTGCACTAATGGAGATTATTGCCTAGAGAAACTCATGGAATGGAAGCTGGAGTTGATGAAGCTACTGATGTCATGAGAGAGATTGGCAAGAGGGTCATATTAGTCATCCCTGCACTTCTCTGCCGTATTAATGTGCAAACACAAACTCACTTGTCTTTGTTAATGAGTGAGGTTGTCCATATCTTAGCCTAGTGTTTGATCACGTCCAGCTGCTTTTGTGTGTTTCCAATCCTACAGGTTGTTAACTCGAAGACCACCAACCATACCCACCTAAATATTCAAAGCAAACTTTATTAGCCTTTGTTTGGTAATGTTAACCATTGTAAAACTGCCTGTAGATTTTTTTGGGGTAAAAAATGTAACATTTGATAGGTACATGGACTCGTGTAATTTACAATTTTGCCAGACATGGTGGACTATTGCATCTTGGAAACACAGCACAGAGATTTGTGAACTTTACAAAAAAATGGCAGAGTTGTGCTGTGTTGTATCATGCAAAACACGTCTGAAGAGTATGAACTTGCTTGTTTCGTGTTGTTGAAATAATGGAATGAAAAACTGAAAAAGGAGTATGATTTTGTGCTAATTTAATTAAAAGAATCATTTCCAAATGAAGGAACTGTTGTACTGTAGGTATTTGCCACTTGGAACAGACAAGGGACTTGTTGTGATTATTCAATTGTATCAATTCACTGTGATTGAGTTGTCAACCCCATCAATTACCACTATAGCCCTTCCCCAAAAGGGGAAATTTTGTAGGTGTTCATACCAACTTGTAGATTGTTAAGTGGTATCAACGATAAAAACAATTCTTTTTAAGGCCTAAAGAATGCCAGGATTTTAAATAACCTTTTAGATTCAGTTTCTAGTTGAATATTTCATTTTATTGGTACAAAATTATGCAGTTGTCCAGGAAGTAAACGCGAACAATTTGTCAAATAAATGTACTGAATATAAGGTGTAAATATAACATATAAATAATATATTGTGAACTCCGTGTAAAATGTTAATAAATTCTGCAGACATTGCACATCACTTGAGCTGTGTCAAGCCCTGAACATGCTTGCAGTACTCAGTTGATCGTTCAGTCAGAAATTAATAGTTTCAGAAAAATGTCAGGGAATGTTGTGCAAATTAACGTATTTTCCGTAATTAACGTATTGGACAATACTTTTATCACTGTTATCTACGTGAAGAACAAACTCAGACAAACGTCACTCCTTGGTAATGTTTTCCAAAATGTTTAGTCCGTCATACACGACTCGATTTTTATGCCTTTTTTTTCCGGGGGCGGGGCTAAAAAGTCCTAAAAAGTGAAATTTAGAGAGAAAATTCCGAGTATTTACTTAGAAAACAGTTGACTTGAGGTGGGAGGAAAACCCCAAAGGAATATTCAGGGTAAAACCCACGGAATCAGGTAGGGACTGAAAACCCAATCCACAATTGGATATTGCATTCTGTTCTCTCTGGAAAACATCGTTGTTTGATTTTTGTAATATACAATTGGCAGTTTGAGTTTTAACAACTTTAGTGCCTCTTTGACGAAATGGATTCAAGCTACATTAGAACAATAATTACCATAACAATGTCGGGAATGCTATTGAAAATGAAAGCCGCGCCGGTGGCGCACTTCAGCATTGCGCATGAATTCTCTGCCATTTCAATAGCGTGTCGCGCGAGGAGGATGTTGATAGTGCGAGAAACATGGCGCAGCTGACATTGACAGCTGATCATTCCTTGGAAAATTCCGTTTCCCTCGACAAAATCTTGTCGGCTTTTGACGGCCCTCTGAACGAAGAGCAAGCATGGGCTGTGTGCTACCAGTGTGCCCAGTTTCTGAAATTGTCATGGCCTGAAAGAAATGCTGACAGAGGATGTACCCTCGATGGAGCCGAGGCGGTCCGAGTACACAAGGATGGTTCCGTGACGGTGACCGTACACGAGTGGGACTCGCTATGGGAGAACGACGACGAAAACACGGCAGGTAGGCATGTTAAATTTGCCCTGGAGGAAATGATAGCAACATTTCCCCATTTCCTGAAGTGTGGAGGGGTAGGGATGGGGCTTCTTAAATGTTAAGATGGGGGGGGGGAAGAGCTCCATATACGGATTACATTATTTTCCATTTAAATGTTATTAGGCCTAACAGCCGTTAGAAAGTGATAACATGTCCTAAAAAGTGAAATGTAGAGAGAAAATTCCGAGCATTTACTTAGAAAACAGTTGACTTGAGGCCTAGGCCCTAGATTTTCTTCCAGACAAATCTATAGTATAGGCAGACAGGGAGGAAGGTGTGTGCACTGGGCCTAAAGTGTTGCCTGTATATGGAACTCCTTCCGATTTGGGTTCTTTGATATCTTTGAATTTTTTTCTTTCTCTCGTATTTGAAGTCCACCCAACCACTTTTCAGGTTCATGAGCTAGATGTGGATGACTTGATTGAATTTTACCATAGGACCTAGCTGCACAAACCCATGCACCTGTGCACAAACCTATAGGACTTGTCTGAGCACATTTGTGTTTTCTAAGTAAATGCTTTGGAGTTTTCCTACCTAAAGTTCACTCTTGAGGACATGTCATAACTTTCTGATGGTTGTTATAACATTTGAAGGGAAAATTAGTGTTGTATATGGAACTCGTTCCATCATTTGAAGTTCATAAGATTTACACTTTACTTATTGGTATGCAGGTAGACTAATCAAATTATAATAATTCTTGTATCGCGCCACATCTGTTAAAGGTTGACACTCAAGGTGCTTTGCAGAACTAAAATTAGGAAAGAGTTCAACGGACAACAATGAATTCCTTTAAAATGTTACAACAGCCATCAGAAAGTGATGTCCTAAAATTTTAAATCTCTAAAAAAATTTGAATCCTTTACGAAACAAATACTTTTTTCACTCAGACAGGTCTCATTGGTTTGTGCAAAGGAGCATCAAGTATTGTCCATATTTGGAACTCTCCTAAGAGGAAAAAATGTAAAAATAAACAATTTGTGTTCTTGATTGCATTTAACAGATTTCACTGATGAGATATTCCACACAGAAGCAGAGGTATGAACAATGTTTGTTTTTTTGTGAAACTTGATTGCTGTTCTCATGATAATAAATATAGATTTGTTCGTAAAAATATTGATAATTTTTCACTCGGAGTGTTTAGCGTTTGGTCCTTAGCTCATTCTACCCTCATTTCAAGAAGAGTTTATGTCTTAAACTATTGAATATTTTCCCTAATCTAATTCAGATTTTTTTAGGCTTTCTAGTTTATCTTTAATTTGAAAAGTTTTGATTTTTGTACATGAAAGTATTGATAATGCATAGCAAAAAAAGTTCACACATACGGTCATAATCTAAACTTTTCTTCCAAATGTTGGTTGTCAGTTGTACAGTTGCAAAATTACCATATACATGTACGTGTAGAATTTGATACTTTTGATGGGGAAATTTTAATTGTTTTGCTGTTCTACATGAATAAACAGAAGTAAAAGGATTGATTTTTAAACTTCCGATTAAGAGTCAAGTGGTAAAAGATTTAAAAATCTTTTGTGGTAACCAAAGTTGCGTGAAAATCAGCCAGCGATTACAGCCATTTATGTATTTGGATCAAACCCCCCCCCATAAAATTTTTTTTTCGTGCATTAGCTCCAGTGGAATTTTGCACTATTTGGAAAATTTCTTTTTCACTGTAGACAAGCCTACACATTCTTTTCCTGCAAGTTTGGCTTTCCTTGGTTTATTACAGGCTCCCAAAGAACCAAATGTCCATTGTCCATTAGGCCATAAGGCAACCCTTTAAGAATTCAAAGACCTTTTCATGGTCTTTTCAACTTCTGTTCCAGGATTAATGGATACTTGACCAAACCATTTTTAAATGCCATCCTAAATGCACCTGGTTTTATTGCTGTTTATCATATAGATATTTCAGAAGTAAAATACCAATGGCGACAGGTTTGAATGGCCTCATATGAAAACACTTTTTTGCAGGTTTCAAGGTAAATTCCTTTGCAAAAGCTTGTAACACTGACTCATATGGCAGGGGTAGTGCTTCCTGTGTGGAATTAAAGCTTACTGCTCACTGATCGGTTGAGTGATTCACAATAGAGGAGGAATTTTATGGCAAGGAATTTCCCATGGGCCAGAGTGAATTGGATTTCAGTAAATACAGTCTCTGTGGTTAGCAGAAAGAGGATTATAGTGGGAGAGGGAGCTGCTTCGGTTGAAGCCCTTGCTCTACAGCAGGGGAAGTATAACTATAAGACAATTTCAATCCACATTTATAGAAGCAATGTTTTACTTGCCAGTATATGTTGATTTCAAATGAGTTTGTTTGTTTTTTTACAAACTTTGGTTATCCAATATGATTTTTGGGATAAAGTCTTATGGAAATTAGCAGTATGACTTTTGTGTGTGTGTTTCCCACCCATGTAGAACAATACAGCAACTTTGCTCAACTCTTTTACATATAAATGGAGATAACGGTGCACTATTTATGGTCTTGGTCCAGAGAACTCAAATCTACAATGTTTACAAGACAGACAACAGCTGTTTTGGGAAGTCTTGTGATTTTGTGTTTATGAACAACTCTTTTCCAAAACCCACATCCAGCATTTATCAAACAGCCAGTGACCTGCATCATTTTGACTGGCCAGATTGAATTCTTGTTTGAATTCTGAGAAAGTTTATGGTAACCTTTGCCTGTTTATCATGCTTACAAGTGTTTTTCAGTCTCTTTGTTACTCATGTCTACAAAAGCCTTGATTTAGTTTCGGGTTTGCTTTGGTACCCTAATGAGACATTGTAACGGAATCCCCAAAAGCAACATGTGAAATCACCAAGATTCAACACATCACAGCAGTCGGAACAAAGGATCTATTTGTGAACTACTGCATTTCACCCTGTAAAATCTAACAGCAAAGTGATTTTATTACTGTTGTATGGTTAGGATTAAATTTACCAACTCAAACAACTCTTTGTTGAGCAGTCACATTTGATTCACGTAGACAAAGTGAAGGTGTCATGTACACGTACACTAAGCGTAGGTGTGTGCCTTAGGTCTTGCATCTGATCTGAAGTTCAAGAGCTTTTCTGTGTCCTCCCACTGAAAAAAGCAGAAAATGTCAGCTGGGATTAAGCTTTCAAGTCACAACACGCGTAAGCACTATGAGTTTCATTCTGCAAACACTAGGCTGGAGTGCTTTGCCATTTCACACATGATGGAATGCACAAATGATCAGTCTCAAACTGATCTCATTGCAATTTCATGCAGTCTCAATTGGTTCTGGGTGATAGACAGGTTATTCCATCCACCTCCTGAAATATGCTGTCTACACTCTAGCTACCTAGATATTTTGCTGCCAGCCCTGTGGAATTAAACAAATTTCCTGGGAATTGCTATAGATGGGAAGAGTGTACTCTAAATGAACCAACATTTAAGGGCTCGTCCAAAAATTGTCCCAAAATGTCTGAACATCAGCGCATTGAAGATTCCTATTGTTAAAACTCTGCTTAATCTTCTGCTTTCCTCCAAGAATTCTTATCTTTTCTCCAGAATATCTGGATGCCAGTTTGTGTATCAAAAGATAAAAGAAACTGACACCGCCCCCCCGAAAAACACTTTGGATTATGAAAAGTATTTTTTTGAAATTGAATAAGGCTTCCGCAATTGAAAAAGAATAAAAGGAAATTTTACTTGTATATTTTTATAATGTTGTGATTCCATTAAGGTAATTCACTGAGTAATTTTCTGCAGGTAATTCCTGTTGCTCATTTAAAATGATAAAGAAAAGAGTTGAGGTAATTTAAAAGATCAAAAATTTATAGGTTAAAAATAATCAAAATCAATCACCAAGATGTTGAAAATAGAAGAGGTGGCAATCAAAAATTAAATGTGTACAAAATATATCGAAAGAGACAATAATTAGTGTGCTAATAGTAATTATCTGCTTGCCTTGTTTAAAGAAGTTTGCATTGTTATTGGCCCCATCCTAAGATGGTGAATGCACTTGGCCGCATCGTCTACCACGCCCTTGACTACGGTTGCCATGAGGAAGAAGAGCGGGTACTCAGTGAACCTCTGGAAGAGCTTATTGACCAGATGACCAACACGGGAGAGGAGGGACAAGACAAGGAGGAGGTAGAGGAAGATCGGAAAAGCCAAGGAAGTGCTAACACTGATGAAGGCATTGTTGATGGACATGAGTCAGATGACCTGGATGATGAGAACAGCAAACCTGGAAGGATATCAACCTTTGAAGATGTCTTACAGGTGAGCACACTTTAGTGTTACAATTGGTTTTAGTTTGGTAACAACCCCAGGCGTTTATTTCATCAATTCTCTTGTTTTTAATCTCTTGGAGTACCCTCTAAAATAAAAACAAGACAAGTGGGAACTAAGAGCCTGCGACTCATTCAGCTTTGAAAGAACAGGTTGGATTCATTTAATGAAGGTTGGATTCATTTAATGAAGGTTGGATTCATTTAATTAGGTGCAAACATTCATTTCAGTTTGGCGGGAAAGTCAACAATTTGGTGCTGAAACAGTAGAACCCATTTCTGTTGTCAAAGGTTAGATTAATTTTGTTTTTTTGTTTGGTCACAGTTGTTTGTTCGGTCACAGTTGCATGAGTCAGGTTTCACAACTACCGGTAGTGTTATTAGCATTTTTTACTGCTAAGTTTATTCATGTACATTGCTGGCAATGTATACATTTATGAGAGAGTGCAAGGTTGTTTTTGTATTTCACACCCTGTGTTTGTCTTGAATGACAAATCACCAAACGTGTCAAAATGCTGCCCAACCCATAAGGGTAGGGGAGAGAAGAGGGGAAGAAGGAGTTGAGGTGTAGGTAGAGAGCTCTGCAGGATCCTTCCAGATGATTAAGGTCCTCCCCCCTTCCCTGTCCCACTTCCTGGCAGGTTATGACAGCTTGTTGAAGTGTTGTCATGGCAAGAACATGCCCATTGCCTGGAGGTGTGTCTGACTAATCATTGGGTCAGTCGAGGTCATCCAGTGTCTGGTCTTGGAAAACTCGAGGGGTGAGGAGAGGATGAGTTGATTTTGGGTGGGCGGGGTAGTGTGGGAGTTGAAATCTGTGGAAACTAAGACTGGTCGAGAAAAATAAAGGACTGGCAGGCTGAAGGGGGTAATTAGGATTTGAGGTGGTGCTTTTGTTTAATTTTTGAAGACGTAAATAAAAGGTAAGCAAGCAAATACCAGTATCTCACATGGGTCTAGGCTGAGACACCAGGGCGGGGGCGAACAAACTGCAGGTTGTTAACTTCATGGAATTTGATTTCTCATTCAAAATTGCTGTGCTCCATCTCCATTCAATATTTGTGTATAAAGTATTTGATGATAGTAACTTTGAAATTGCGCGAGGTGACATTTTTCAAGAGGAATTCATCAGCACAAGCTGTATTTTTTTGTAAAATTCTCCTTTCGTTCTTAGCAGCGGGATCTTGAAATAAATGCCCTTTGCAATATGTACATGTATATGCCTTTTACCATTCTGTCGCAACAGAGGAACCAAAAAAACAATGTAATAGACTCTTGGTGTTGACATAGTGTGCGTCCTGTTGCAATGACTGCAATCATAGCTCTGTATCTGAGCACCCAATCAGAGTAAAGACCCAGGAGTCATATCATCATGGCATCCATAGGATGCGATCTCCTCACCTCTTCAAGAGGGGACGAATCGTTGATTGCATGACTAGCCATGCGTGCTGGCTATCATGATGCTGTCCTGCATTAAACATGCATGGGTCCACCTTCTCCTATAGTCAAGTGTTTACTCAATGCACTGTAGATATATGTACATGTACCTTCTTTATGAGTGAAGCCAGTAGTGTGCAGTTCACATACATTGTATACTTTGTTATGTGCATGTGTCTGGTTGATTGATACATGTACTCCATAAATGTAAATTACAGTGTATCAATCTTTCCCTTTGGTACAACTTGGAAATGGACTATAAATTCACTTCCTTTAAATCAGCTACAAACTAAACAAAAATGTACTACTATTGACTGGAAAGTGATTCTGTTGATCATTTGTGGTTAAATTGGTAAATGGGTAGTAAGTCAGTAAAAACTAGAAATATTTGCACCAAAGTCTGTGGTCAACGAATGATTCCTACAATTAGTGGTATGCATAATATGCAGGAACATGTGGTAGACAGGCTAATTAAGAAGCTGATGAAATTATGCACAGTAAAGGGCTTTATGCATACAGAGAAACTGATGTGAGGCAGACTATGCACTGTAATTATTGGTGCCAGACTAAATTGTACACTAATTGCCTTAGGGGATATAACTGCACTTAAGTAACTGCAGGTTACCTGCATTATTAATGTATTTCATTATGGTCGTCATGTAATTAAGGCTTTAGTGAAGCATTTTCCGCAAGAAATAGGCCTTTGCTTAATGCAGAGTCAGTTTTTTAAAAAATGCCTCAATACTCATGATAATACTCATGGTAATACTCCTGGTAATACTTGTGGTAATACTTGTGGTAATACTCATAATGGTAATACTCTTGGTAATACTCCTGGTTGTACTCTTGGTAATACTCCTGGTAATACTCACTTAACCCCCTAGGGTGTACATGTATGTAAAATCATATTGAAATCAGAGGATTTGGGACTGTTCGGGGTAATGTAACCCCTAACCTTACCCCCTAGGATGTATGTATTTAATCATATTAAAATAGAAGGATCTACATGCAGGACTGTTTAGGTTAAGCATGTTGGAATCCAACAAGATTCAGTGTTATTTCATTGGTAAGCTACCTAAAGGGTCACAAGCCCTGGTAAAAACAATTTGATAAAACACATCATAACGGTGAGCGCTTCATTTTATATCTAAAAGCATTTTACATACATGTAAGCACTCTACCTGTATGACTTCAATACCTGATCCATGAAACATATTTGACAGAATATTATATTCATCAATGAAATCCTACTTCTTTGACACTTTGAATCTGAGCCTTCAGAAACGTAAACCTGTTCACATTCATCTAAGGCATTGATCAAACACATCAAGACCACAATCACTCTCTCTAGCACATTCTGCCTGAAATTAATTTTGAAGCTTGTTCCTTATCACTGACGTCTTCCCTGTTCTCCAACCTGTTTTTTCTGCAAAGTTTGAAAACACGTCAGCAAAAACGACAAGCTGGCACTTTGCCCCAGTCCTAGCGGACACGGTGACGTATGTATTGACGTACCCGGTGAGGCAACGCTTCCTGTCTTGTTTCTTCCATACATATATGAAGAGACAGGTGTTTGTTGACAGACATTTGCATGCTAGGCGAAGCAACATCTATGACATCCTGGAATTTGTAGCTGCTACTTGATAGTAGGAAACAGATTTCAGGTGTGCTGAAGCATGACAGGTTAACAGAAAGATAAAATTCCTTATTGAATGCAGTACAGAGAGATGAAAAAGGAGAAAGAAGGAATTCACATTTTTACTTCTTTGAGATTGTATTTCATCAGCAGGCTGTATGAATTTGGTACATGTACATGTAGATGTATTGTACAATTGGATATCTTGATAGCTTCCCAAAACTGTTTTGTAAGAATTACTTGAAATAACATCTATACCTTTAATGCAGTACACACCATGCTTGAGTTCATTCTGACGTTGAATATACCACCATGCGTTCTTTGATCCATGATTGTAAACCAAATACTCAAATATGTCACATTTGACATGGTTGGAACAAATTGATGAGGCCGGCCTGGCCATTATGCATGATTAGTTGAATAGATTGATTAGGGAGAGCGAGTTCACAGGAAGGGAGACCTGCATGGCATCATAGGCTATAGCTACAACTGATGTGGTGCTTAAATCTGCAGACACTGTACCTATTGTCAATCCAATCTCTCCAGATGATGTAATTAAAATGTGTTATTGAATTATATTGTCCTGATTAAATATTCTGATGATTGACCTACCAAGGGCAGAAGATGCTAAGTGCTGAAAATCTTTGCTTTGGCAAAACGAGGATCCTGGTTAAAATGTCGTGTTTCAGTTTTAGTTTTATTGTCTATTAAAATGGAAATTCTCTCTGTCGTAAAAGCTCATTTAAAACCATTTGAAAAATTATAAGAAGAGTAATTAAAAAAAAATTTTAAACAAGTATAAATATGAAGTAAAACACAAAAACCTACAGACATTTCACCGTCACTACTCACCATAAACAAATAATTAAGTATTCACAACAAAGGAGACATTTTACCAACATCACAAACAACAATAAAAGAGAATTTCCAAAACATCCATGGAGAACTTATGACAACAGAACAAAACCAGAACACAACGAAAATTATTGAGTTCATTTAAAATACGAATAGACGCAGGGACAAATGATTTCATAAATCTGCTCGTTCTAGAGGAATATTTCTTAGCTTTCTACCCGATCTCATTCTGCACCTGTATACACCTAAGACTCATGCAGAGGATGCTTGCTATTTTGCATGATAGATGTCGCTTTTAATTGAATTCGCTCGAGGGAAATTTCACGCAAGTCAGCGTCGTCTAGAAGTTTTCCAGCCTGTTTTGCAACACTCTGCAACTTCAGCAAATGTGATGTATGCATTGCCTGTGATTGGTTCCAGGTAGATTTCTTTGCATAAAACATTCATGTGCATGTACATGTATATGTTCTCTTAAGCAGCTGTGCGAGGGGGGGTGGGGGTTTGAACAAATCCACCTTTTTCTGATGCTCTATAATTCTCCATTGTTTGAAAAATAAAACAACCACAAAACAAGTCTTTGATTTGGTTTTGTTTGCACTTACATGTAAAATGCCAGATTGCAGGATTGGATGACCTTTTTATGAACTTTCCTGAGGGAACATGCCTCAGCCCGGACCCCCCCTAATCTGATTGCATTTCAACCCCCCTCTCGTCCACTTTGATAAAATTTTCAGGGGACACCCCTAGTGTGGGCAGCACCAGCTAGGCCTAGTCAAGTCTATTTTCAAAATCCTACAAAGTCCACTTCAGCCTCTGAAAAAAAGCAACAGTTTGGTTTCAGATACATGTACATGTATTGTTGATGAGTCGTCAGGCAGTGAGCGCCATCTGAAATTAACTGGCCCATTTTCTATCTGAACATTTGCTACAGAGCATAAATAAAAAGACAGGTCTGTCTAAGGGTACGGAATTGCATTTGTAGTCGGAACATTCTTGAAATTGAGCACGCATCATATGCAAACCTGTGCAGTATCTAAGGCTCTGCATCAAATCATGGATGATTA